ATAAAGCAAATTTTAATTACATTAAAATCCCAGCGGTTTAACAGAAATTCAGTATGACGAGAAAAAATAGGTCGTTACTGAGGTGTGAAGTTTGTTTAATATATGAAAAGGAAAAGTATATATATCTGATTTTCTATAAAGTTATATACCTGAAACTACTGAACGCATTTTTATAATTCAAATTAATTTTTCACCACATTATTTTCTAAGTAAGATAGGTGTAATTTTTCGTGGAAATGGGAAATAATGGCGTGAGAGACAAACATCCAGTCAATGACAAAATGTATGTCCTATGTTATCATACCACTATTATAAATGCGAAAATTTGTGAGAATGGATGGATTATTGTTACTTTCTTAAGCAACAATTATTGAATGGATTTCAATGAATTGGTACGCGGGTAGTTCATATACTAATAGATAAGCTACGTAATATGCTGATTTACACGGACGTAGCCGTAGGAAATAACTAGTACTAAACATATATGAAACGAAGTTTTCGGAGATAAAATATCTCGACAAGAGTTAATCTCAGAAAAAAAATTGTTAAGACAGAATAGAATCTCGCTTGTTCAAGTACTAACATTAAAACGACAAGTACCGTATGAGCATCAAGGATTTACGATTATCAAGATTAAAGTTTACAATCTAATTGCGTATTTGATTGTGAATAAATGTGGAATTTATGAGGATGATTAACCGGAAGTTTATCGTGTCCCCGTAATGTATCGCGAAATTGCTATAGAAGTTTTACAAGGACTCGTTAGGGGGGGTGTAACGATAACCGCGGTAGATAACTGTTTCTAATCAGACGTAATGACACAGCGTTGCCGCCGCCGCCGCCGCCGCCGCCGCCTAGAGAGCTCTCTCCACGGAAGGGTGTCGACGGAGACTGCGGCTTGCGACCTCCCCTGCGTCTCCTCTTCATAAGATCGCTTGTTTAATTTCATTAAGTAAATACACGTTTGTAGAATACTATACGAATCGTCTGGGCTTATTAAAGCGTTTTGCTAGTGACAATTATTTCGAGTTAGTTGCACACGCTCAGGATAAAGAAACATACGTATCATATCATGTAACACCTTAAAAATTAATTACAATCTCGTACTTAATAACAGTTTTAAAAAATATTCAAATCTAAATTCTGATATGAGTTGATATAAATTCAATTTCATTGGAATACCCTCCTAAGCAGACCTCTGTAGGTCATTTTTAAAATTGAACACAACATTTAGACATACTTGTTTTTCTGCCTTTAAACTGGAATATTTCTTACAAAAATTGTTAAAAAGTTACATTACATGAAAACATATTATTAATGTGCGTACGCGATGCTTTTGAGCGGTTGTTTATAAAAAAAAACTTTCTGGTAGGATCTAAAGAGGATGGGTTCTTCGGATACAACGATATACTGGCGGAAGTAATAAAATAAAACGATTTTACATCTCCAGGGGGAAACGAACGTTTTTGTCGAATGGGAAAAGTCGCGAGCGACTTCTCATTCCGCGATAAAATCAAGAACGTTTTACGACAATCTTCTATTCGATTACCGTTAAACAACAATCTTAAAACAGAGTTTCTTTAACTTTCATGCTCTATATATACTCATATATATATATATATATATATAATAATTTTTGAATGCGATATTTTATTTTTATTCCTGTAAATATTTTTTTCCAATACACCATGTAATTTAATTAATAAATAAATAATATTATAAATTTTATTTGTTCTATTTATTGCTCTCAAAACCTTTTCTTTGGTAAATAAACATTTATATTATTTATTTATTTTTCTAACCTGCAATTGCTTGAGTATGTTCCAGGAAAATTGTATGAACCGTATGCATATTATAAATAATATATACCTAATATTTTACATTCAAATCTATTTTATCGTTAGGCAATATGTAATAGGTTTGAGAAATTTTGCAAAAATTTTATGGTAAGTAGATTCTCACTGTTAATATAATCAATAATTTCTCTATTAAAATCGTAATCATATTTTATTTATTCTATTCATAATGCCAATTATAAACGTGTTAATTTAGTTTTTTATACGTACGGAATAAGTTGCTTCATTTTGCGTGACATGTTTTGTGTTCCTCGACCCCTATATAAATTAGGAAAGGTAACGAAATGCAGTAAGTGCAGGTGATTTAAAAAGAAATCCTGCAAGGTTCGTGTGCTGAGGCACGTTCAGCTGTTTGTAATATGTGGCCCAGTTGAACATACGTAAAGTAACCGACGTCGTCCGAGGTGACCGCGAGGGCTCCGTTCTGCGTTGCCGCATAATGAACTGGTCACGTAGCCACATTTCGTATTATTTCCCTGGGACGCGTCACGTGACTTGAATAAATGTGGGCGGACGGTGTGCGGCCGTCCACGGCTCCAGCGCCTCCTCGGACCCTCCACAAATAAACCGCTTCACGCACGATTCGGCAGCGGAGATTCATTATTCTAACTCTTACTTGCCGATTCATAATATATTGGGAAAGTTTTCTTTTCAAATATAAATTTTATTCGATATCAGCAGCGTTATAAAGTCTTTTGAATTCCGAATCAAAATGATGATGATGACCGCAAAACAATGAAACTCGTATAATCATATTCTTTGGTTTTAAACATTACAGGGGATTGTATATTTATTTTAAATTTTACCGGCAACATCAAATGCTGTTCAAATTGTATACATTTGTTTGTATATTACATAAATTGAAATTTTTTATCTATCATCATGCCGCCCTTGCGAGATAATAATGAACTAAATGCTAATACATTTCTTGCCTCATCCACTTTCATAAGTCATCTCACATACACGCTGGTTTCTGAGACTGGAATCTTTTAGCGTTGCACGTAAGCGAGTAAACATGACTGTATTAATAAATTTGTGTTAATTGTAGACACGCATTGGTGTTATCTAAACAAAGTCTTAGTACTAATAAAATGAAAAAGTTTTATAGACTTCGTTAATCACTAAAGTAGTAGTAGCAATAATCTTACTATTCTCAAATGAGAATCAAGTGCAGACTACGTACTCAATATTGAAATTTCCAGGAGACTCTAAATGCCATTTGTTTGAAGATAAGGTAGAATTAGAAACTTCGAGAGTTAAGAAGAAAATGCTACCATTCTTTTATATTATCTCCAAGCGCTAGTCACCCAATATGTGAAGTTCTTTACTAAAGTTTATAAAACACTTTAACAATAGATACTTAGCTCTCAAAGAAAACTATTTAAAAAAGTCATTTTCATATGTTGATCGTAGTTTTCTACTAAAATAAATTGAAGTAAACGTTTGAAAGTCACGATAAATTTCGTTAACCAAATACAGGTACCACTCATATGAGGATGGCGCCCTCTAAGATCAAAAGTTTTTAGACTGCTTTCGTTACCTACACAAATAAGAAAACCTTGCCTTACGCTCCAGTATGAGGCACCATACAGTGATCCGGGGGGTAATTGCCCCCGGAGATGCTGGGGTGAAGGTAATCATCCCGAGGCATCCACCAACCCGCTCTCCAGAGGGTATGAAGACCTGATTGTTACCTACACAAAGACCTCCGATGTGGTTTACCGGACGACGGCTTTACGTGCCCTCTAAAGTATGAAGCGAGTGACAAACAAATGATATAAAGATGAATTTGAAAAATTCAGAAGTTTAGGCGGAGATTCAACTTTAGGATATTTGGTTCGCAGTCAAATGTAATCCAAATGAGCTGTCGCCGTTCTAAAATAATGATATATTTATACTGATACGTAGATGAATTGTCTCTTAAGAAAATATAAAAAACAACCGTAACAAAAATCCTGCATATTAAAAATACTTAATTTTACGTTGTAATAAATTCATATACTCTTAATATAAAGCATATAAGTAAATTTTTGGACAGAAATCTATATCTACGAGTTCTTGTAGGCAATAAAGACGTCACACAAGGCGCTAAGCACACAACCGGAGCACGCTAAGCAGTTTATTGTGCGGCAGGCTCGCTCATAACTACCCATTCTCCTAGGAATAATGTCGGACAACAACCGACATAATGCTTATTTCAGACAAGGTACACAAATATACAAATTTACAGATAAGTGTATCCCGAGGTTATCTAAAATACATATCACTTAAGTTATCTCATAATATGATCTACTAGCTGACCCGTCCCAGTTTCGCACGGGTGAATAAGAAGACTCAATGGGGGACATCTCAATTATATGAACGATTTTCCATCTAAAGTTAGACCTGTTGGTCAAATAAATTAAACTATATACTGATATTCTTAATATGTCACTGAAACTACAAAATCTAATTATAGTATATATATTAATTGCACACCAAATAGTAAATCTGTCTATATATATAACAGTCTTGTGTCATAGTGTTTGTGATAGCACTCCTCCGAAATGGCTCGACCGATTTTCTGAATTTTTTTATGTTATCAAATATTGATAGGTATGAAAATAGGTCGTAAAGTATATCATACCGCTAGATGATTAGGGTCCTTATCCATAATTTATATAGCAGAATATTTGCCGACTCAGCTAGTCAATTAATGAAACTGTAATAAAATCCGTAGTTGTTGCTATTATAATTCAAATGAACGATGGCAGAAATGCGGCAGATATACGACATGTATGTGTATATTAATTGAAAATCGAAAACCATACAATGTAATATAGGTAAGTATTTCATATTATTTTCTTCATTATCCTTCAATCCATTCATTATTGTTTATGTTTGTTTTTGTGAATTTTCTTAGATAACCATACCTAATTTATGATACGACATGGACAGTTTTTCAGTAAATAACACTCAAATTTTTAAGCCCTAAAGTAAAATATTATTCTCATTTCATAATAAAAAATCCAAATGATGGAAATTTTATTATACATAAGTCAAATAACTTTGTGATCGATTAGTTTAGACCAATACCAAATTTCATTCAAAAGGCAACAACGTAATTTTTCTATAATTTTCAGGTAAAACGAATACACTACATACCTTGGATTGCCTCGCAGTGCAGCATGGTGGAGAGCGTTGAATCCATTATTGTTGGTTAAAGTCATGTCTGCTCCATGATCCAACAGTAGCGTTAACATATCGTCACGTTTCTTGGTGATGGCGTCATGAAGAGATGTATCACCCTCGGAATCCTGAAGAAAACAAAATGATTACTTTCTTTGATTCGATGATATTATAAAATCATCGAAGATAATCAATATCAAAGTTTTTAAGCCCTAAACGAATCCATAGTGAAGGAAAGCCTAAAGACTGGAATCCGGCGCCAGCTGTGTCGACAACATTCGACTCGTGAATTATAAAGCGTAGCCCGTCTCGAGTATCGCGACGATTTTCTAAAACATCAAACCGCTCGAATGAATAATTGAGGCGGCGGAGAAGGCGTTTAGGGCGTGGATTATGGCAACTTGCATAATTTATAAGCATCTCAGAGTGGTTAAAGAGAACAGCGAGAGGCGAGCACGAGGCCTGGGCGAGGCACTGTGAGCTGCCGATTGCCAGGCGCACGGAGCACAGGCGAAATCAGAAAATGGTGTCGAGTTCCGTAATATGGGGAGAACGGCGCAAAAAGCGCGGCCACCGCGTCATTATCATAATCACCACCGCTGCGTGCCGCTACGGTGCCGCCCAAGCCGTTTCGCTTTGTGAGCGTGCATTAAGAGAGCTGAACATTGTGCTCTGTCATTCAGCAATTAATTTGCAAGAAACTGCTAGATCAGTTTCGGTTACAAATAAGAGTAACTGACAGAGTAAACATAACTCAATGTTTATTGTTTTTTATAAGTTCTACACAGAATATTATTTTTTATTCAGAATATAAAAATGTACATTTTCAAGTAAACGAAACAGAATTTCATATAATGTAATTGAAGGGTAATGCGATGACAAAACACACACACATTCAGTAAGCAGTAATTTAGTATAAGCTCAACCACAGACACGGTAATTTCGCGCAGAATAGCGGCATTAAATATTAATCGTATTGGCATATAGATGGCCATTACGTTGTGTAATTCATGCGGACTGGTCGGTGCCATCATACCTTCGCATTACATGCTGATACTACCTAATTATTTGATTGTTGATAATGCAATTTAAATATGTTTGGTATTTACGTATAATTATTTTGTCAGAAATAATTACCACTGTAAATAGCATTAAACACGTGTAGGTAGTAATATTTATTTATTAATTAAAGAAAAAAAAACCAATAGCTCGTTAGTTTTCTTAATTCTACAAAATAACGTATATTATTAACATTCTGTGGTACATGTTAATGTTAAACATTTTCAACATTTATTTTCATGTATATGACTGAGATACTAAAACACGTAATTACTTTTTACTTGAAATAAGCAAACAAGCTGACTGTCTATCTGTTGGAAAATGGAAATCGATCGAGAGGTGCTATTTTATACACGAGTATATATGTGTTGCTAACAAGATGCTACTGCTATTCTCTTGTTTCATATTTCAATGAGTAAATTAAATAATATAAAAAAAAAAAAAACTAATTATTACGCATGTAAATGGAGACAATTGAATGCCCTTATTTGGCGTTCAAAGTTGCTGTCATAATTAACTGTAGAACGGCACGATATCGTACAATTTATCTACAATATAATAGGAAAAGATAATATATGCAATTGTATGAACTCGTTTTTAATTTTCCGTTTATAATAAATGTTATACAACCGTTGATTATATATACGTGGAAACTTATGATACCATCGTAGCATTAATTATGAAAGCTCCCTATGAGATTTATTAAACTGATTACATTAATACAGTTTCATTCGAGCTTTAAGGGCTAGGTGCACGGTAAACATATTCAGGCAGAAATATGTGTGGCGTCTCGGCGAAATAAGAAATTTGATTTACGCGGCAATATCCGCAGGTGCACATGAGCCCGAATGCATATATCCTTACAAATATTATAGCTGTGTTGACGACCTCATACTTATAATACATAGTACATACTACGTGCAAAGATATTTTAATTTAAAGCTTACAACATGTACGAGTCCCAATCAACGGGTTTATGATATAATAAAATTTATATATGGCATCGTGGACCGAGCTGTGGAGGCATGTTAACCCGGTAAAATTAATTACTCGACTAGGTATGCTGTTTATTGTTCTAATACATATTTTATAATTAAACTATAAAGAACTGTAAATATTTACTTTTTGGTATAAAGGTATTCTAATAATATATTATAGCATTTTGCACCTGCGATAGAATTCGAAGTCAAAGTTTACCATTTAGTTTAAGTAATAAGTTCGGGATAAAAAAAAAGTGCACATTATTGCGTTTTGCATGCGTATATTAGAACATAGTTTATTATGTATCAATCCAGGATCTGTACCAAATATATTTCAAATCTGTTAAGCCATTTCAGTTTGAGAGTGTAAAAAAACCGTTTAAGCATTTTTATAATCTCAAAAATATTTTATAACATAATAATGATAAATGAAAAAAGCTGAATTTCTGGACGATTTTGCACCGCTTAAACTATTGGAAGTGTCTGAAATTTTATACAAACGTTTAAGTGTTATAGGTGCCCACTTAGGTTTAATTAGCTTTCTTGCAAATAAAGTTGTAGGAAATTATGATAGAATTTTCGGTAAAAACATACATATAACATCATTATAAATAAAACAAACTCAGTCAGTGTCCAGACAATAAGGATACTGAAAGATAAGAATAACACGTGGAGCATGAAATGTAGCGAGTAGCGACCCTAGGCCAACGCGCCAGTGGGTTGGGAGCGAAGGCGGGCGGGCGGGGCAGCACAGCGGAGACGCTACGGGCTGATTTCAGGGTTGTGATATCGTAGCGCCTGGAAAGTACCTAACGTTAAAAATTCGTTAGCCTTGATTAAAATGCCACCTCGTCGCATTATTGTGAATGAACAAAGGGCGACAGGTTTATCGGGAGAATTAATGCAGGTTATAAAAGCAAACGTTTCTCATGAAAAATAAGAACAATTGCCCACAACCTTGTGAGGTCCGACAAATATAAATGTTTAATTTAGCAATATCCGATACCATTTACATACTAATACAAGTGAATATATTATTCACAGCATTATTTAATTTGCTTTACTATAGTTAATTATAAGTATTTTTTTAAATAATTTGGTTAAAGTAACTTCTTTATCGTGACTTGCGAGATATTACGAATACATTACTAAATACTCGTAGTATATAAATAAGTACATAATTTTTTTTAAATTTGTTTTGGATATAATAAAGATAGATTGTTGTAACGCTGTTGGTGGATAGTTAAGCAATATTAAGACGTTTGTATTATTATTTAGTAACATATAAAAAGCTGGTGCTCAACAACACCCGACCGAAGCTTCGTCATTGACGAGGCAGAAAGAAAGGAACTAATTGTTTAATTCCGACCCATTAAGTCGAGTATTACCGGAGGATTACTCACGGGCCATATAGCGCGGCATCAGAGCGCGTTACCGCCGTAAAGCGCCACAGAGAAACGCGCCCTGTGCCGGAGAGCTCCACGATAGCGCTGTTGCGTCCATCATCAAAAAATTTAAAATCTTATAGATCTTCATTATTTAACATTTTTTTCTATCTAGCTTACACTCCGATTGGTATATATAAAAATGCCTTATAAAAAGACATGCATGAAATATAACCGTAATAAATTTAAAACTTGAATTGTTTATTCAAGTTTTTAGTTTCTATTAGGTTATGCTTATCTGCGATGATAAAAATAATTACGTCATTTAGTTAGGCTACAATTTTGTGTTCACATTCCATTTGGTTAAATTTCGTGGTCCGGTATTAATAGCCAAAAAATAAAAAGTAAATAAATTAATAGCCACACCGCTGCCACGTCAATGCAACAAGCCATGACGTGACGAGCAACTCAAATCCCTCAAATATAAACGTTATTTTACCACATATACGCGAGATATTATTGTATTTTTTTATGTATTTCTTACGCTGTATCTCAATCTAATGGTGCGTGTACCGACACGCGGAAAAACGCTCGTGTGAATGAGATAGCCACCTATTTACATTTAACTCTCATTTCAATACGATACATTACACTCAACGAACCGCTCTCTGAATTCGGAACATAGTCTATTTATGAACACAAGCATTCCTGTGACAGTCGAGTATTTATGTGTTAGACAACGCGTATTTTACATTGGATCAGTAGTTTGAATCATGATTGAAAATTTTATTTTTCTGGGTTTGAGTCTTGCAGAATATAAATACAAATTTTACACTTTTCGAACATAACTTTGATATATGATCATCGTCTTATTCAAAAATCAATCAAGTATTTGGAATATATATTGATTCTATAGCGATTAAGTAGGATGTTGCGTAGTAAATTGTAATAAAAATGGTACAACTATTTTGTGTAGTAACAAATTACCTAATCGTATAATCAAGGATATCAAATAAGTTTAATAATAAACGTTGACGTTTGGTTATTTATTACTCAAAAATGACATGAGTAAAAAGTTGAAAAGATTTTATAATAAGATTACTCAGATGAATCACATCTTAAGCAAAGGCAAAACCACGCGTTACAACTAGGTTTTAATGTAATAGTTGTATAAGCAGCGACATTGTAAATTTCCAGTCAATATATAAAAAACTAAAACTGATAGAAATAACGTAGCGTAATACTTTCATCGCACCGATAATATGTATGTTATACAGATAAGTATTAGAAAACAATAAAGAACAACATGTTTGCATAATTTGAGCAGGGGAAGTTGGAAACAAGAGTTAAAATGAAATACAAGTCCGGCCGACGGTCGACATTGCGTGGAAATTTGCCAACAGAGAGTGTACGATGTATTTTTAAATTTATGGAAATTTGACATAAGATTAAAGTGTTTGTCGTCTGTTATATTATTATTTTATACGTATGTATGTTCTCAGAGTACAACTAAATTAATTTGCCAATCCGTATCGCATACAATATATTGATTGGTTCAACGAGTTAACTAGTGCGGGTTTTGCACTAACAGGGTGCACCCTCATCAGCCGCCTTGATTGATTGTGCGGAAGTAAGCCCCTGCATTGTATATCCGTATTCACGTTCGCATCCAAGTAGGCTAGAAACGATATAAGAAGCTCGAAA